TGTCTCTCTCTCTCTCTCTCTCTCTGCCCCTCCCCCACTTGTGCAGGTGCTCACTCTCAAAAATAAAAACATTAAAAAAAAATAAGGCGTGAGTGCACTCACATTAGTTTTCTATTGATGCTGTAACAAACCACCACGATTTTTGTGCCTTAAAACAACACGGATATATTATCTTACAATGCTGAAGGTCAGAAGTCGGAAATGGGTCAGCTTCTGGATGCTCTAGGGGAGAATCTGCTTCCTTGCTCTTTGCAGCTTTGAGAGGCCCCCTGCTTTCCTTGGCTCACGGCCCCTCTCTTCACATCGAGGCCAGCACTGCAGAATCTTCCAGAATCTGTGTCTGTTTCCATCCCTCTCGTCACCCTCTCTCACTTTGACCCTCCTGCCTCCCCCTCATAAGGACCCTCGAGAGGACATTGGGCCCACCCGGGTATAAAAGTTACGCTGGAGATAATCCAGTTGACTTCCAACTGTAATGACAACCTCTTTGAGCATCAGCATTGACTCCAACCCAGAACAAGTCACGTTCCCCACATGTTCACCACATCCCAGGCGCGATGCTCAGTATTTCATGCCTGTCAACCCATTTCAGCCTCACAATGGTCCTTAAAAGCTTGGTTCTACCAGTAGTATCGTTCCAGTTCTACAGATGAAAGGACAGAGGCTCAGAAACTTGCCCAAGCTCACGCAACTGAGCCACAATTCAAATTTAGCACCCTGGCTTCCTAGGCTGTGCGCCCAGTCACCCCCACCCCTGCTTCTTAGTAAGCCCTCACAGGAAACGTTCCTGCATGGCGATGAACTGTTTCATCATAATAGGAAAAAAGTGGGGGAAATCTAGATAAAAAGAAAGAAAACAGTCACTCAGAATCCCATTTATCTGTTTCTCTGGTGACTTTTTTCTACGGGCATGTGTATACGTACACATCGCCAGAGATGAAAACAGATGGTGTCTCAAAAGATATGGTCAGAGAATTCTGTCGAAAGGATAAAAAAAAAAAGTCCCCCGTAATCCTACTTTTATACCCCCTTAAAAACTGCATTGAAAATTATAACTCAGTTAATAACCTGGCGAAAACAGCAAGAGGGCGGGAACAGGCCGCCTTCCTCATTAAATGGGATAATCACTCCAAAGCGAGTTGCGCTGGGCTCAAGTTGTCAATGAATGACAGGCAGAATTCTGACCTCAGAGGATTAATCTAAACTCTTTACAGATTCTCCGGCGGGTGCCAGATAAGTTGAAAGGAAGGCTGCAGGGTAATAGAGCTAAATACAACCAACTCATGCCTCACCAAAATGCCATTCTCTTTCTCTGTGTCCCTTGTCACGTGTAGGTCACAGCAATATGCTCTTCCAGACTGTTGTCCTGTATTTCTGTTACCTGTTTTCTTCCTTGTAGGAAGACTATGTATTTGTCGGGGGAGGAAAGCAGGGAAAGAGGTAGACAAGGAGGGAGGGAGGGACCAAGGGAGGAAGGTGGGGGCGCGGGGACTTCCTCAATTCCCAAACACTGTGTTCTTCTTCGTACGCGCGCCTTGACCTTGTGCCCTATACTAAAAGCAGGAGAATGGTAATATCGTTATGATAGAGAAAGCGATTTCTGGGGGGCACATTATATTCTCAACGCCTCTCAGTTTCTCAAGAACAAACATCTACGGTTTGTAAATTATGTAAACGGTACGGTTCTCACTTCAAAGCCCGTGCCTCTCAGTGGCCAGCTTGCACACCAGTCCCGTCCGAGGTCGTGGCTGTATGTGCGATCCATTTTGTGTATATCAAAGTGTAAGTTTGACCCACAAGGTTTAAAGGCAGGAGGAAACTTGGGACCTTGTCTCAGCCAGTGGTTGCCAATCCTGGCTGCGTGTCAGAATCCTCTCGAAAGCTCCCAGCCTTAGGTTAATGGTGGACAGAGGCTACTGGAGGAGACCTGGCATCCCTAAGCTTTTAAGAAACCCCTCGGGAATGATATGGTAATATAGAATAAGAAATCCATATTTGGTCTTCAACCCCGTTCCTGGCCCAGAACTCCTACAATTTATGAAAGATAAGAGCCATGGAGATGTCTTTTGGTATTCATCACAAGCCCAGCCCCTTTTAACCACGTCTGAATTTATGCTAATGAGGTGACTTTGGAAGGCCCCTAAGGATGGGGGCCCCGGTTGCCATGGGAACTAGCTTTGTGATTGGAAGGTTGGAACTTTCAGCCCCTTCCCCCCTCTCTGGGGAGGGGGGAGTGGTTGGATTATCGAGTTCAATCACCAATGGCCAATGGCTTAATCAATCGTGCCTGAGTAATAAGGCATGCACAAAACTCCCTGAAGCACAGGGTTGGGAGAACTGGACTGGTGAACACATGGGGGGGGGAGGCATGGGAGGGTGGTGTGCCCAGACAAGGCATGGAAGTTTCCCCCTCCTACTCCCTACTCCCTCGGAGCCCTCCCACCCTGCCCTCTGCGTTCCTTCCATCTGGCCGCTCCTGAGTTGAATCCTTGTATAATAAACTGGCAACCTAGCAAGTAAATTGTTTCCCTGAGTTCTGTGAGCCATGCTAGCAGATAACTGAACCTGAGGAGGTGAGGAGGGGGGTCATGGGAATCTCTGACTTGTAGCCAAGTAGGACGGGAGCCCGTGGGTAGCCTGGGGGCCCCCTGCCTGCAACCGGCAACGGAAATCTGGTGGGACTGAGGCTTACGCCCACGGAGGCTGATGTGAACTTTAGGTAGACAGAGCGGGCACCGCGCTGACGTAAGGGACACCCACCTGCTGTCTCGGCTTAGTGGGCATCTGTGAAGTCAGATGTGGTGTGAGTAGTAGAGTATAAAGAAAGGAGTTCTCCCCCTTACCCTAGGAAATTCTAAAACCCCCAGAACCAGTAATAAAACACTTCCTCATTGTTCAGAAGAGGAAACGGGACCCCAGAAACTTACATGCAAATGACCGCAACCATCATCATAAAATAATAATGATGGCAGTTAAGACTTACAGCACTTGCTACGCGGCAAGGACTGAAATATGTGCTTTATTAAATCGGACACTTGTGTTGTAGGTACTGTCGTTTTCCCACTTTAGAGACGTGGAGACTGAGGTCCAGAGAAGTTGAGTAGCTTGCTTAAGGTCACACGGCTGGTAAGCGGCAAAGCCAACAGTTTGATTCCAGAGTTCTTGCCCTTTGCCACTTCTTCTCATGTAGTTATATACATATTCTCTGCGTAGTGGAACCCAGCCACTTTTGATGCACTGAATTTATAGTCTTATATTGCAGGATAAAATAACACAGGTAAGTATACTGTCCCATTTTAAAACTGCCCTGGTGTAGAGAAAATTCTGTGGCCTGTATCCTTTACCAGTTTCTGCGGAGTTCCTACGTGCTGGGTGATATGTAAATACTTCATGGACGGTCTCCTTTAACGCTCTCAGGAATTTTGCGAGGTAGGTGTTCTTATCCCCACAGGAGAGGTGAGAAAATCCGGGTTTTGAAAGTCAGATCACTCGGGTTGCCTGGATGGCTCAGGAGGTTAAGTGTCTGACTTCAGCTCAGGTCCTGATCTCGAGGTTTGTGAGTTCGAGCCCCGCGTCGGGCTCTCTGCTGTCAGTGCGGAACCTGCTTCGGGTCCTCTGTCCCCCTCTCTCTCTGCACCCCTCCCCCCCGACAAATAAATAAACATTAAAAAAAAAAAGTCAGATGACTCCTTCAGGTCACAGAGCTAGTCGGTTACCGGCAACGATTTTAACCAGGTATGTCTGACCCAAATGCCCACCTCTTATCATTTTCACTCTGGCTTTTATCTCATCTGCTGTAGATCCTTGGCCCCTTCCAGTGGTTGTGAATATCAGAAGGAGTGGGTGCTGTTCAGAGTTGAACTGTATCCCCCAGTGCCTGTGACTCCATTTGGAAACAGGGTCTTTGCAAATGACCAAGTTAAGATGAGGCCAATTAGGGTGGACACCAATCCCATGTGACTGTGTCCTTATGAAAGGGGAAATCTGGACACGCAGACAAGCATGTGTAGGGAGAATACCATCCAGAAGCCACCGAACGCCTGAGGCTGCCAGAAGGCAGGACAGAGACAGAGAACAGATTGTCCCTCGCTGGTGCTCAGAAGGCTCCACGCTGCCCACGTGGTGATGCTGTGGTAACGAGGATCGTCCACGGTATGGAGGACTGTCCCCTAGCTGGGATCTCCATCACTGTGTTCATGTTCTCTCCTACCTAGGCGGTTCCCCCCGCTCTGCCCGCCCCGTCTCATTGTTTGTACGTTCATTTTTGTTTCTGTGGTTTTACTTTTTAATAAAAGTGAATACAATCGGAAGAAAAGACTTCTGGCCTCCAGTGCTGTGAGACAACACATTTCTGTCGCTTAAGCCACCCAGTTTGTGACACTGTCAGGGCAGCCCCAGGACACGAATACAAATGTTTTCAAAGCCAGCCTGTGGCTTCAAGCCTTGCATTTTCTTTTCACCGTAAACAGGATGGGCAGATCCCTCCCCACCCCAAGGGGAGCGGCTCACTTCCCAGATGGCACTGACCTTCATCATAGCAAGGAATGTCGCGGGTTGATATGATCACCGGCACCCCGTTTTGTGCGCATCTACTCTCAGACGCCGCCTGGAACAGAACATTGGTTCTGGCATTAGGAGTCAAGTCTTTGGGGGAAAATCAGAAGTCAAGGAAGAAACTCACGGCCACAGGGCGCATCACCAAATTAAACTTAATTTAAAGGCTGTGTTTCCAGAGACTACCCAGCTTCCCATCCTGCCTCCGAGAAGCTACATAACCCATTCATCTCGGTGAGCCCCACAGACACAGGCAGGAGGGACCCCAACGTACAAACGGGACGCCCAGGCTATCTGGGGCCACTCATCCAACCAGTGGGGAATGAGAACTTGACACACCGATTCCTCACCCTGTGAGGTTAACTGCGTGCCGCTTTCCTGCACACACGGTGCCGTCCCCAGCCGGACCTTTAGTCAACAAACTTGTCAAATACAGGAAGTTCTCCGTTGCTTTCGGTTCCGTTCCACACCCACTCCCTCCGTCTTCACTGGAACCTCTTTCCAATTTCAGGCCACTGCCCTGACAGTTTTTCCTCTTGTTATTTATTGCAAATATTTTAAAAGCTTTTATGCTTACGTATATATGTGTGCGTGCATACATACGAATATACTCGGACAGAAAGAAAAATGTTACGAGAGAGAAGGTAAGTTGCTTGGCGCTATTTTAGTGATAAGACCATCTACATTATACCACTAATAGTTGGCATTAATTGGATATTGATTATGCGCTAAGTACTCTGCACGTGGTAGGGGATTTTGCTAAGCCTATTCTATAGATTGGTAAGTGCACAGAAGAAAAGCAGAAGACTGAATGGCAGCTCCTGAAGGTGGGAACCTCCTGGGGCGGACACAGAAGGCTTGTCCCTTTCTTCATGTGTTTGTAATGGTCTCATTGTTTAAAATAAGCCTGTGGTCTTGAATCAGATTATCAACCCTCCCAAGAAATCACAAGAAAGAGGGGCCCCTGGGTGGCTCAGTCGGTTAAGCGTCCGACTTCAGATCAGGCCGTGATCTCACGGTTCGTGAGTTCAATCCCTGTGTCGGGCTCTGTGGTGACAGTGCGGAGCCTGCTCCGGATCATTGGTGACCCTCTTCTCTGCCCCTCCCCCCCACCCCTTGTTCTCGATCTCTCTCTCTCCAAATAAATAAATAAACATTAAAAAAAATCACAAAAAGGAAACGTCTAACCCATGTGACAGTCTGGCCCCGAGCTCATAACTGGCATCCCCCAGGGGCAATCCTGGATGTGCCGATTTGGTTTATTTGACTTACAGAGTTTTTGTTTTCAAGTCTTTGGGAATCAGTTGCCAATCTTTAAAAATGAGCTTTCTTTCACACTGTTTTCTAACTACGAATGAAAAACCAGACTCTGGGGACATCTGGATGATACCTGTTGGCCAGAGCCAGCCATTTCCAAATAGACCCTTGGTCTCCGTTCCTCCGGGGGCCCTGCCTGCCCCCTTCACTGACTTTTGTCACTGCTGAGCTCCTAGAGGCCAGAGGCTCCCAGACTAGGAGTCGCTTGGGAGCTTGAGAGACTCCTGATGCCTGAGGCTAATCCAGATGTTGTGTTTTGGTTGCTGTCGGTGGGGCCAGACAGCAAAACTTTTCCAGATGACATACTACACAGGCAGGCTTGGCCCCCAGTACACAGGCACAGGAGTTTTAGCCCATTTCTCCAAATCCAGCCTCTTCTGAGCAGCGATTCTCCAACGATATTCTCAACATTAGTTCGTAGGTACTATCTGCCTCCTACAGAGGTGTCCATGTTTAACCGGGCTCCAAGTCTTACATGGAATCGAATTCAGAAGCACTGGATAGTGGAAGTGTAGGCTTTCTGCGACTGGGTCGTAGAAGATCCAAGGAGCAGTGATTGGGAGTCCCTGGCCTCAGCCCTCCAGAGCAGGCTCCTGAAGGAAGGGTTCCTGAACTCGGCTCCCCACCTTGGCTACACTGGCAGCAGCTGAGACGCTCTAAAAATGTGGCTGCCTGCCCTCACTCCCACACAGATTCTGATTCAATTGGTCTAGGGTGCTATTCCGGCATCACAATCTTTTAATACCTCAGATGATCCCCATGTGCAGCCAAGCCGGCCCATTGCCGACCCTCCCCTGGGTTCCCCATCCCAGGCACCAGTGATGTTTGGGGCCAGGTGGCTCTCTGTTGCACGGGCTTTCCTGTGCACCGTGAAGCAGCATCTCTGGACTCCACCCACTAGATCAGCAGCGCTGAGTTGCAACAATCAAAAATGTCTCCAGACATTGCCAAGTGTCCCCTGGTAGGGGCAGGCAAAATCACCCACAGTGGAGAACCACCTGCGAGTAGGTACAAAATGAGCCCCATGGGATGCACCTTGGAGGTCCTTAAAGACGCAGGTTGCATAGACTCCCGGCCTTGCAGTCTTGGATTCAGTAAGCCTGGGGGAGGAGGCGGGGCTTAGGTGGAGTCCGCCATCTTGAACAAGCTCCTTGATGGATTCTGGAGGTTTGACTCCGACTGCACTTGAATACAACTGTTCCATGGGAATATCAGCACATCATCCTCATCAATAATGTCTGTGTGATGAGCTCTGAACAGGCCATTTTGCCATCGTTCCCAAATCCACCTGCTAGTGGCGAATCACCCGGTGAGCATAGCTACCTACCTTGTTAGTGTCTATCTCTGATTCATTCTCTTGGTCTTCGACTCTTTGTGGGACACTCATTTGGTTGCCCATTATTCCTGCAAGAGAGAGAGAGAGAAATTAAAACCCAAGACAAACAAAAACCTTCTTCCCACCTCTAAAGTTAAGGTAGCAGAGAGTTGACAAGTTACTCTGGATGTGTCAACACAAGCCCAAGTTAGGTCAATTGCTTATATTTATTTTGAGGGGTGAGAAGCGGTTTGGGACTTATATATTCAACAGAATTTAAGTCAAATGCAGCTCCAATTTTCAACTGCATTTCATTGCTGAGAGGAGATGTTTATCATCATGAAAAGTGTATTCAGTCCAGATAACATTTTCTTCCCTCTTAGCCCATCACAGCTGTTGCATCAAGGAGATTTTAGAAAGAGGATAATTAAAATAATACTTAGAATTTTTAGTATTCTCTGATCCTCAAACGAAATTAGATCCTTTGCTAAAACCTCTCATAGCACTGGTGGTGTTTGGGTTTTGTTTTTTTTTTTTTTTTTTCCATAACACTTAGTGCTACTTGTAATTATTTATTTGGCTGTGTTTTCATTCATTCATTGATTCAACAAGTAGGTACTGAGCACTAACTCTACACCTTACGCTGTGCCAGTCATGAGGGCTAGGGCTGTGTATTAAACAGACTAGGCCCCCTGACTTCACGGAGCTAAAGTCTTGTGGGTAGATAATAAAAAGACAATAAATCCATAAGCCAGGCCATTTCCGATAGCTCAAGGCAGCATGGCACAGTGGTTAGGGACGGGAGCCCGAAGCAAGACAACCTGGCCTCGAACCCTCTCCCTGCCTCTCCTCGCTGTGTGTCCTTGCATGGGTTAATTAGGCTCTCTGTGCCTCATAGACCTGCTACAAGGACTTGACGATTAATGCTTGTGAAATGTTTAGAACACTGTCTGGATCAGCGTAAGTAATATCTCAGTGCTTCTTCAACCCAAACACGTGGGGTTCAATGCCTTGAATAAAAGTAAACTGGTAATACAACAGGGGCCAGGGTGGGGGGGCAGGAGGTGGCCGTGCTACGTACGATGGTTCTCGAATGCAGTAACAATTGGTCCAGCCTGGGAGGGCAAAACAGAACACTTAGCTTCTGTCTCTCTTCCCCCAACAAATTGTAAGCGCCATGAGGCCAGAGACCATCGGTCTTCAGCCGTTGTTGTATCTTCTTCTTTAAAATTGTTTTTAATATTTATTTATTTCTGAGAGAGAGGGAGACACAGAATCGGACGCCGGCTCCAGGCTCTGAGCTGTCAGCGCGGAGCCTGACGCGGGCCTCGAACCCACGAACCGTGAGATCATGACCTACGCCGAGGTTGGACGCTTAACCGACTGAGCCATGCAGGCGCCCCCCCACCCCACCCCCCGTCCCCGTCGTTGTGTCTTCTGCTTTCACCATGGTGTTTGCATTGATCAGATGCTAATTTATTACTTACTGGTTGGATGGAGGGAATAATCATTGATAGCTACCTCTCACCCGGCAGGTGCCGCTCATACCATTAACTGAGCCTTGTTTTAGTAATAATGATAAAGATCAACAATTATGTAGCATGTTCTCAGTTCCCAGCACTGTGTTCCAAGTGCACTCCCTGTCTGGTTCTATTGAACCCTGCAGCACCCCTGTGAAGTGGGTGTTCTCATCACCTCCTTCTAGATATGAGGAGGCTGAGTCACAAGAAGACTGCATTACTTTCCAGAGGTCACCCAGTTAATGATGGCGGGGGCAAGATTCAAACACAGGCCGCCCATGCTGCTAACCACCGGGATGTTCCGCATATTATTTTCTCCCTCCTTCGAAAGGAGGGAATGAGTTCTCCACCACTCACCCAGGACAGCATCCGGAATACGGCCAAGTGAGGGTCTGACCCGGAGTATGCCTGCTCTCAGAAGTAGGGCTCTTTCAGACATTCCGAACACCTGCTGCCTTGCTACCTAAAAGTTTCTTTTTCACAAGCAGAATAATGTATGTTGGATGAGCTGCCTCATCAGCTTTTGGTGGCTTTCAGAATAAAAGCCGGGACTTTTCATTTCTGGTTGAAAACAGCCAGTGCATCTCCAAGGATTCCCATGGGCTTCTGGCCCTGGTATGAGGTTCCCTGCCATGGGAATACACACATTGAGTCATTAGAAATTTCGGAAGCCAGAAAAGGTCCATAGATCTGACCACCTGCTCTCTTGGGGGAGTTTGGTAGTAACAGAATCCGGGGATTTTATGTTTTCTAATCATACTGGGTAATAAGGCTGAGCGATGCTAAAACCTACAGGATGTTAGGTTATTTTGCAACATTTCCTGTTTATAAAATCCATGATGCACGTACTTGTAATGGACTGTCACTTCCATCTATAAATGGGACATAATGGTTATAATATTGAATCCTCAAGACTGGGGTTGGCCGACAACAGCTGTGGGGCCAGTCCAGCCTGTTGCCTGTTTTTAGTGTGGCCAGTGCGCTAAGAACGGGCTTTACATTTATAAGTGGCTAGAAAGGGGCCCCTGGGTGGCTCAGTTGGTTAAGCATCCAACTTCGGCTCAGGTCATGATCTTGAAGTTTGTGAGTTCGAGCTCCCTGTCGGGCTTTGTGTTGACAGTTCGGAGTCTAGAGCCGGCTTCAGATCCTGTGTCTCCCTCTCTCTCTGCCCCTCTCCTGCTCCTGCTCTGTTTCTCTCTCTCTCTCTCAAAAGTAAAATAAACATTAAAAAAATTTGTAAGTGGCTGGAAAAAAAAATCGGAAGAAGAATCACAGATTGCGATACATGAAAATTACATGAAATGCAAATTTTGGTATCCATAAGTACAATTTTACTGGAAGGCAGCCACGCCCATTCATTCATGTTTGGTCTCCATGTGGCTGCTTTCATGCTACAAAGACAGAGTTGTACAGTTGCAAGAGACTCTATGGGCCTGAAAAGTCCAAGATAGATATTCACTATCTGGCCCTTTCTGGAAAGTTCATCAATTGCTGTTGGAGATATATACTGAGTAGTGTATATACCTAGTTTGCAAAAAAGGGGGGAGAGGCAGCTGAGAGACAAATGTTGCCGGTAGTAAGACTGACCAGGAGTTGAACCTACTGTATATAAACATAATGACAACTCTAACAACCATAGCGATGATAAAATAGTAACAACAACAACAACGGCAACAGATCTGGTAAGTGATTACCATGTGTTGAGAAACTGTTCAAAGGGCTTGACTTGTAGTAAACTCATTGAGTCACTGCAGCAAATCAGCAAGGCAGTGGTAACATCATTCCGATTTTGCAGATTACGTCGCCACCGGAATCCGGCTTTTCACAGAATTGAAAAGCGATTCACCAATGGGTTTGCAAACGTGTAAAGCTCTCGTTGTTCAGTTCGGACTTCGTTTGGGGGCTACTTTCAAAACATGTTCGAGGGTTACGAGAAAACCTGTGGACTGGGAGACGTGTGATGTGAGTGGGCAGGAGAACCTTTTCGTCCCGTGGAGCTGGGGTTCCATTTTCCTGATAATTGTGTGTTTGGAGTAGCCTCTTGGCGGATTCAGGGCCGAGTGGACTAAAAGAAGCACACTGCATTCGCCCGTCTTTTGCAGGGCCTATCTGGATTCAGGTAACATTGCTTCCCAGCCACAGTTATAACACAGGTGTTGTGAAATCGTTCCTGCTCTTCCTTCATATTTTGCAAAGAGCAGGATTTACGTGGGACAAAACCAAAAGGTCCCTGCCACCTATTGGCCAGCGTCGGTATCAGCAGAAATGAATGCGTTTGGCCGGCCCACAGGGCAAGGTCAGAATGTTTGGGGAGGTCCAGGGAAACAGTATCACAGTTAGCAATTACATCCTCTGTTGACAGTTGGCAGGAGACTGCCTCTCATGCCCTGGAGATAGTACATCTAATAAAACAATAATGATAGTCATATCTGATGTGTACGGAGAGCTTGCCATGTGGCTGCCCAGTGCTGAGCATTCTGGGACACAGGATAAGAAGGCGAGTCACCCGGCGCCCCTGGCTCGGTTGGTTAAGCATCCGACTCGACTCTTGGTTTTGGCTCAGGTCACGATCTCACGGTTCGTGGGATCGAGCCCCACGTCGGGCTCTGCGCTGACTGTGGAGGCTGCTTGGGGTTCTCTCTTTCCCTCTCTCTGCCCCTCCCATGCGTGCTCTCTCTGTCTCTCAAAATAAATAAAGAAACTTTAAAAACAAAAGAAAACAAATATCATGATGGTGAGAGTCAATCTGGGCTGTCCTGGGAAAGAAGGTGCTCGGGGGTACAGGACTTTTGTACTAAAACTAGGGAAGCCCTTGGCAAACCAGGCTGAGCTGATCTCCCTCTCCCTCTAACCCCACTCAAGGAGTCTGTGAGGCAAGGGCTCTTTACCCCCAGTTAACGGATGGCCACACTGAGGCTCCCGATGGTTCAGACAATAATTCCTGTCCGTGATGGAGTTTTCTCTGGACTCCAACAAATGAGAAAGATCAATCAGATCAAGAGTTTTTCATCAAGAACACTGTATTCATTTGAAAGAGCCAGATTTGGGGCGCCTGGGTATCTCAGTTGGGTGAGCGTCCGACTTCGGCTCAGGTCATGATCTCACAGCTCGTGAGTTTGAGCCCTGCGTCGGGCTCTGTGCTGACAGCTCGGAGCCTGGAGCCTGCTTCGGATTCTGTGTCTCCTTCTGTCTCTGTCCCTAACCCACTCACATTCTGTCTCTGTCTCTCTCAAAAATAAATAAACATTAAAAAAAAAAAAAGAAAGAAAGAAAGAGCCAGATTTTACTTTGAGGAAAAAAAAAAAAAAGAAAGAAAGAAAGTTTGAAGGTGACGCCCTTTCTTTCACGAACCAATAGTGTTAGTTGTTTTGTTTTTAATGACCTACTCTGACATTGAACACAAGCCAGGCCATGTGGCAAGGCGTTTTGTTTTTGAAAACGAACTCATGCTTGAGGCCTTAGCATTTGAGAGCACGGCGTCAGTCTTTGCTTGGGGGTCATCCAGATGCAAAAGCCCTTTAGCTTCTCCACATCCTGCTGTGTCCGTGAGGCCAGACCTCAAGC